GCGGCTACAGCCAATCAAACTTATTAAAATTAAAATGGCTATATGTCCGTCAGTTTTATAGATATTGAGCCAAAATTGGGCGTTTTGGTAGCTGAGGGTCATCTCTAAAACATACTCCAAGAACTATTTGTTTCAAGTTATCTTAGCGTAAATATTTGGTATTAATTGTTGAAGTCAACCCTGCGTGTCTGTTAGCATAATATCACATGAACCGCAGCGTGGATTTTACTGAAACTCGCAGAATGTAATGGCTAGATGAGCATCTTCAACAGAGTAACGTTTGGAGTCAATTCGATTCAAGATGGCCGCCACAACCAATCGATCTTATCAAAACAAAATTGGCTGTAACTAAGTTGATTTTATCGATACTGAGTCAAAGCTTGGTGTGGTAATAGCTGAGAGTCATTCCCAACAAGTGCTCCAAGAGTTTTTCCATTAACTAAGAAATTTGCTTAAATCTTTGGTATGAATTTTTGGAGTCAGTCCTACTTGTCTGTTAGCAAAATATCTCATTCATCACAGTGTTGATTTTAATGACACTCCCTGGAAGTAATCATTGAATGTACATCTACAAATGTGTACATTTTTAGAGTCAGTCCAATTAAATTTGCCTGCTACAACCTACTGAGTTTATCCAACACAAAAATGGCTATTACTCGGTCAGTTGTAGAGATATTGAGATGAAATTTTATTTGGAAGTCTCTGAGAGTCGTCCTTAACACATACTTTGAGCGCTAAAATATTACACAATATTGCACAATATTGTAGGAGATCACACAATATTAATTCCAAAGTTTGAGTTAGTTCCAAACTTTTTACTGACTGTTAATGTTTTTGCAGCACTAATTCAGTTTATGATCATGTTTTTTATCGTGTACCGTACTTTATCATATCTGTAGCCATGACCATTTGTTACTTGCCTATCTATCGTTCCAAATCTGGGTTTCAGAGAAGGATGCGACCAACACGAGAACTTTCTCCCTGGAGGATGTCTTCAACAGCTCATTGAGACCAAAGTCCTACAGCATAAGATGGATTTCAGGTGGGAAACAATACAATAAAAGAAATGGTGTTAGAACACGAGAGCACTGATTACAACCGTAATGTGTAAAACTGTCAAAAGCTTTATGACCATGTTCTTCTTTCTGCTTGTTACTCATTCACCAGACCAACCCCCCATTCAACTTTCCATACAGATACTGTCCAATGTTTAGTACACTGTATGCCATGAATGTGTTATGGTAGATAATTAACAAGGTAAATATCACTGACAATGAGGTGATGGTCAGTGGGTGGCCCCTTTTTTCTATCAGTATTTTTTTTTCACACTTTTGTATTTAATTGAAGAAACATTTTCATTTGAGACCTTCAGTTCTAGTTTATTTATATGCAAACTTACCAAAATTAGACTTTTTTTTTTATAGACACCATTGCGAAAAGTCAGGCACCACAAATACATATACATACGTATAATAATACTTGGGGAGCCGAGATGGGGTAGAGGTAGGGCAACCGACTTGGGACCAGAAAGTCGCGGTTTGACATCCAGCCGTTCCCACATGTCTTGATATCTCTGAGCAAGACACCCAATCCCCAATTGCTCCCTGGGCGCTCAATAGCTGCCCACTACTCCACCTGGGTGTATCCCAGGTGTGATGGGTTAAATTCAGAGAACCAGTTTCATCATTATATGGGAACATGCAATGATGACACCACATAGCGCGTATATACTTGTACTTACTTACTTACTATATATATATATATATATATATATATATATATATATATATATATATATATAGGATAGTCACTCCCCAAATACATTCATACCTACTTACAGTAGCTATGGTAGAATATATTGGTAGAATGCCAATCATTGACAAAAGTGAACACAAAACCAAAGAAGGCCAAAGAAGAGCTATACAAATGCAGTTAGAGAGGACATGGAGGTAGTTGGAGTGAGGACATAGGACAAAGAACACAGAGGACAGAGTAAAATGGAAGATGTCTTGCTGTGGAAGTAAGGAACAGCAAAGACAGAGGATAATGGAGAACGTAGAAGCGCTTCTTCTTCGTATGTAAAGGAGGTGAGGTTGTTCGGGCATCTCATTAGGATGCCTCCTGGTTGCCTCCCTTTGGTGGTTTGAATTCCCACTGGTAAAAGGTCCAGGGACAGATCCAGAACTCACTGATGGGATTATATATCTTAACTAGCCTGGGAACACCTTAGGGTCCCCAAGGCGAAGCTGGATAGTGAAGTTTGACTGGGTAGAGGGACGTCTGGGTACATGTTGCCTGTGTGACCCGACTACAGATAAAGGGGTAGAAGATGGAGATGGAGAAAAGTAAACACTGAGATGAAACATCAAACTTAAGAATAATTTCTTTAAAAATTTGGTCTGATAAGAAGACCATGTGTCAGTGATGATAACAAATATACACAAATGACAAACAAAAGTCAATTACCGTAGACGTTAAAGAACCGGAAGTAGGCATGCGCATTAGTATCCGTAAAAAGGTTAATTGATAGCTGATCTGTAATGAAAACTACTTATTTTGCAACAGGGGTATAACTATACACCGAAGGGGCTATCATTGTTTTTGTGAATACTCAAGGCTTCATAGCACTACCTTTAAAAACAAACACTTGACAGTAAACTCCAGGTTTTTGTAGCGTTTGTATGTGACTTATTGGGAGAACAAAGAACATATTTTTGAACCGTCCCTGGAATACCAGGATGTTAGCATTTTAGGAGCATGTTAGCATGCTCTGTACGTCACATTAGTGTACCTACAGATTCAAATCGTTGAATGAGCCAGTCCAACACAAAATACATGTTGATGGGGATTTTCGCAAGTATTTTACATGCATTTTTACTTGTTGTGGTCATAAATGTAGTAGAAGCAACACTAATAATAGCCCTATTAGTTAACATTACTAACATTTAATCAATGCTAGCCCTGTTAGATATGTTCGCTACTAGCATGGCTAACATTTAATCAATGCTAGCCCTGTTAGCCATGTTTGCAA